AATCACTTAGCTTGCTCACAACCCTATGCAATTCACCCTGACAGCTACTTCTCACTGTCTCAATAACATGTGGTCTAAAGCTGACAGTGACTGGATTCGAAAGAAGGTAATGTCGTCTTCGTAATACTACACAAGTGTTAAGGGAAATATTAATGCTAGTAGTTTGTTCAGGATTATCATCGCACTGCTTCAAGGAGGAACGGTGGGAAATAAACGTCATAATTATCATCCCTAATGATTGCTGTTTCCATTAGAAAAGAAATAAGGTGTATATGAACTCCATGAAATTTGATTTGCAATTAAACTAACACCTGCAGTCTGCCAGTGAGCATCAATCATCGAAATGGGTAGAGAGAGAAAGAATGAGGTCATACTGAAGATTTGAGATGCAAATCAATAAATTGCAGTTTCAAATTCAATATGAAAGTAGCTAAACAAAACGGTCTTGTGGTTCACCTTCACCGTGAAAATAATAATCGGACGTTTAAAGAATGAACATCAGTTGGCTTATGAGTGGCAGTTGCAGTGTGTTAATTTGTGACTAGTGACAAGAAAAAAACCATAAAAATTTAGAAACGTATGCAAAAAGAAATTCCCGGGGACTCAAAGAAAGTATGCGCTGCTAATAAATATAGTCATAGTCAATGCTACAGTGACGTAACATCAACCAAATATATTTATCCTGGAGCAAAATGTTTTATTCGATCTTTACAAATGACGATTTGAGAATGAAAATCACTGAAATATGAGTACATTCAGCTTACCTGGGGCCTCTGAAAGAAGAAAATACGTGGAGGGCATATACATTTAATTATAGCAAAAGCTCAAATAATGCCACATTGAGTGAAGATATTTAGTCTGATTTGTGACACCGCCCTCGTTGCTTATGCATAGATATCTTACTTTACCAACACAGTTTAAGTATATCAAGCATGGTTGCTTTCGGCAAGGATTCTCTCCTCACAAACGCCTATTCATAACGATTCCTCCTTCTTGTTCAATCATTATCGGTCAGCCATCACATTCAGTGTCCCCTTTGTTAATGTGTGTTTGTGTGTATTTCGTGTCTATCGCATTTATCTCACCCGAATGACACTTGTATTCTGTTGACTATAAAACAGCACTATATCACCCAATTGTTCATTCACACTTCATCACATTTTTCTGACTATACACCCTGTACACATTTGTTTGATTATGTTAACTAATGGACTATCACCTCAACTTACACATGCACCCCAATACAGTTTCTGATATTATTTTCATTGCCTTTATTGGCTAAATGTACTCTATTATTCATGGATTTATAACTGTAGAGCCTGAAGAAGTTATCGAAAACAACTGTTCGCTCAAAATCTTGTTTTGATTTCAATATGGGGATATTTCATTTACTGAAAACTGTTAACTCCAGGACAAGATGTGCTTATCCAATAATCTGTGAATTCTAATTCCTTTCAACTGGCGATACAGCATTATTGACAACTGGTGCCGTCAATGACTATTCAATCTGCACTGGTGTCGTGGCTGATGCACAAGGCCGGATAGGTGTATACTGGTGATCTCTGGATTCAAGTTATTCTCCGAAGCATGTATCTTTGTGACGAACCCTATTTCCGATTTGTTTCACCACGGGATTGCTTACATTCGTTCTCTTGTTCCTCAATTGTATTTCGTTGTGGAAGACTAGGTGGTTTAGGCTATTTCCCTCTCTGGAAGCTAATCGATTTTCGGTTTCTTAATTGTATGCAAAATTCTGTGATTATCGTTTGTTTGTTTTTCTCAAAGTAGCCATTATATTCATTATTACTATTCACAGAATTAAGTACCTTTAACTCAGTGATCATGTGAGAAGCGTACATATGCGTCAACTTTTCTATGTGAGCGAGTGTCCATGTGCATGTATTCTGTAACTGCTTTGTTTTTATTGTGTATTTGTCAAGGCATATAGTAAGTTAATATGTACAGCTGCAACTCTCTACCACCAGCAGATTGAATTGGAGATGCACGGGTTAATGCAAGAACTATGTGATATTCTTTCTTCATCTGGATGTAGTGGTGAAGATCTGTATTTCGGATAGATGGTTTTGATGTAGTTGTGTTCTCTGGGCTGACTGGTTTATGGGTAATGATATATCAGAACTAAATATCCTTTCACAATGGAAGTTACAGCCACTGAAACTTTACACTCGAAATTATACTCCTCTTTCTAAATGATAATTTTCGATTATGGCTAACGCGTGCTGAAAATGTGAAAGTTGTCACAACCTGAACTTTCTATTATGCCCTGCCAAATGTTGCTTAAAACCAACATCACGATATTGAAACTGTAGGCAATGAAGTGTGTGAAATGCATTTATTCTCCAAATCCCTTATCCTCCCAAATTCCCTCTGGCTTAATAAAGAAAGAAGCAAACGATTAAACATGCATTATTTGTATTTAAAGTAGTAAGACTGCAAATGTCAAAAGAAAGCACTAGGTAGTTAGTTTTTTAGTTAATTAGTTAGTTAGTTAGATAGTCAGTTAGTAAGTTAGTTAGTTAGTCAGTTTCAAATGTATTCAGTTAATGTTAGTTAGTTAAAATGGCAAAAAAGTACAATTGTTATGAAGTGCACGTTGAAGAAGTTTCAAATCAGTGTTGGCTTCATTTCTGAAATAGGGAAAACATATTTGGTTTCAGCAGGACATTAATATAACTGTTACTTTAAAATGCGATACAAAACAGTAAATTTAGTACTACATCTACTGGAATGAAGTTTACAGCTGCTTAACACTGTGTAGAGTGAAACTAATACATCGACTTCCTGTTAATACCAGCTCTGCACACTAATTCTAACATATTTCAATTCTGAGAGGGATGTTCGAAATAGTCGAGCATTCTTCTGTGAATTAGCGTGTTTTTGTAATGCAAATAGCTCAGTTCATCCGCTTCTCAACTTGGTTTTCACTTTGCATTGAAGCGAATAGTGCATGCTAGCAGTTTGAAAATATGCTTGACTAAGTGATCATAAGAACACAGCAGGTAAGTGTCGTCATATATCAGCTGACTTGGTTAATTCGATAAAATAGCGTAAATACTTCGTGAAGCTACATTTGAATATCTAATGGCCGATCATCATTTCCCTCCTTCTCACAGTCTGCGTGCATCTTCAAATATTAGCACGAACCTGCGGACATACTACAGTGGACTTCAAGTTATTTGGTATGAGTTAGCTCGAGCACTCAGTAAGCAATTTCAATAGTAATTTTCCCATTATCAAACCGTTATTCGTATCACAATAATTAGTAAGTCCCATGGCCAACAGAACACACGGTGTGGAGATTCGCTGACCTATTTTCAAGATGACAGTTGGTTTTGATTGTGGATTACATGTTACGTTCTTATTTTCAAATGAAGAATGACAATGATTTGGTGGTAAGCAGTTTAAATGTTTTCGGCGAATCTCGATGGCCGTCTAGTTGGCATAGATTTTTGCAACCCGTCATAAAGAAGGCATACATCTCAGTTCGGCTTTATTCTTTTATTCCTCACAGCAGATAAGTAAGTAGTCGTCACATAACGGGATGTATCCACTTCTTTCTAATTGTTAGATGACTATCGTAATTATTAAACAAACGAGAATATTCAGATGACACTTAAATGTTAACATCAAATCTTACAGGTGGTGGCTGCGAAAATGAATGTGTTGAATGAAGTTTTGAAGTTAACTTTGAGAATTAATTTTGTAAATTTACTTTCAATGTAGAAGATGCAGACTTCGACTGTCTGTAACGCATAATGTGTCATGGGGTGAGTGAGCTTTATTTCTTCTTCTTAGTTTCATCTTGACTGTTTCTTCGAAATAAAATACGCAACTGTGTGAGATGCTGTGTAGAATCTGCTGGGAAGTGACGGGCGTAGATCGCATGAATCAGTTATTAGTAAAGCAGAATTGTGTGAAACAGTCTGTTTCACTATTGAGAAGTGAAGTCCTCTACACAGAAGTTAAAATACGTTTGAGTTCAGGGATAAAGAAGACTACAGAAGCAGAAATTATCTGTACACAATGTCCGGATATCTTCATCGAATACCAATCAACATATATTGTGCCACATTCCTATATAGGAACACACTGTATTATTGGCATCACTGTCTAACGGATTCATCAATAAGCATAACATCACGATCGGGCTGATTCACAGAAAATTAATGTCTGAATCATATCGAGCTTAAACGTTTTCAGAAAGAAGTCGGTGTGTATTAGCGCAATTTTCTTTAAGACTGTAGAAGTGATGGGGATTTCTGAAGACAGCCTGACAAAACTAAAGTAACGGAAACATGGATGGACACAACGAAAATAAATATATAAATAAAAACTCACGCCGAATTCTTCTTTCTAATTATCATCAGTTTCGGAAGTAGGAGGAGCTGACACAAAACAAATTCAAGAATGAAGTTTAGCTCAGAATGACTGGTGTTTAATGTGGATGTTGTTAGCTATACTAGTGCACGTGAGAATCAATGAGTAAATTTACAAAAAATGATGATGACGATACTGTGATAAACATGAACGATCTCCAATCAACTCCAATGAATTCTACCAGATTTTCGTGAATACAATTTTCTGACTTCATATTATACTTAACTTCATTTTATGCAAATTCAGATCACTCTTCGAAGCTGGTAGTGAGATGGCGACACAGGTGAACATGTTGGATTCGGTCTGCTACACTGATGATTTTATTGCGTATTACACTGGTGCATTCAGATCGAATTAAACCGGTCAACTTGAATTACGAAGTTTTCAGTAATTTCTTTATTCAAAGTCTACACATTTGGTAGTTCTTGGAAGACCTCAACTGCTCATTTCATGATTATTATTTATCATCTTTTATATCTAACTACTCGCATCTGATCTAGTTCGGTTTCCCCTCGCCTATTCCGGAAACCATTTCAAGGAATAATTTTGATCGTCCAGTCAAATTATTCTTAAACCACAACTCATTCCATCAATGGCATTCCTCAGGATTTGCTTTCTGATGTAAACAAATTGTTCAAATTTGGCTGGCTTAAATCAGGCTCAATACTCTCAGCTGATGTTATCACATTCACATCATGAAAATCAACTGTACCCAGTAAAAAACATGCAGTCGTGTCATTTGTGTCAACCTGAGGTGCATATCATTTTTGTCTGGGTATCATTTGAACACATCAGAATCAATGATCATCAGGTGATATTTGGCGTTCAATGTAAAAGCCTCCGAAAGAAGGATGAAGTCTGTTTTTCATTACTATTCCAAATGATTCAAACCGGTTATAGAACCAGAGAATTCCAGTACATCGCTTCGTTTCACCTGAACAGGTATAACACACGAAAAGAAATGAATTGAATAATGGTAATACTAATACTAATATTAGTTTTCCCCTTGTGAAACAATAAACAATGATGATTTGAAATTACCTGGATGAGCGGTACTCAAACCTGCTTTAAAGGGAATAAGATGTGGTTGAGTGACATAGATATTAATGAAGTAGCTTAATTCTCAATGAAAAGATCGTATATAACTCAGTTCTAGTTGCTTCACTGTGTCTTCATCATTCGACATACCTCAGAATCAAGAGAGATATCAGAGAATCTATCTTGTGTTTCTTAACCACAGTGTAAATATCATTCTGTTCTAAAATGAATGATAGTGAGTTTGTTCATAAGTGGTAGGTTTCAGTAATATATATATATATCTGTAAATTACCCCGACTAATAATGAAATAGTTTGATGGAATGCATGCTCATTTAGATTACGCAAGTCCTCCGAAAGAAATAGATTTGTATGTGCATGAATATTTTGTCTGAGTTAAATCTGCATCGACGCTGCACTACATGAAATTATTCCACATCAACATTGACGGTATATGTCCAACTTCTTCCTACTTATCATAACTGACAAGTACCAATGCGTTGACATATCTGTTCTAATTGCTGTTTTATGCGTGAAGATAAAAGTTGGACGCTGTTGCCTTCATTATTCCAAGCGAAGACCAATGAATGTAAGAATGAAAACACTGTGTTCGTGACAATATTCATGGTATAAATAAAAAGGAAATTTATGAAATTACCTTCTTCACCTTCATTTTCATCTTCATCGTTGTCATCATTTTCTTCGCCATATTCATCACCTGTGGTTGTTGATTATATTTGAAAGAAAGAATAGGATGTGATTGAATTTCATGAAGATTTATGGTAGGAGTTGGTTTGAAATGGAACTAAATTTTGATAAATTATATGGATATATGATTCATTGTGTGAAACAAAGAGAACCGAATGCAGTTAGGTATTTCAGAATTCGTATATATTCACCGTCTTATAACCGAAATACTTCATGATTTAATGCATGCATAGTTAGCTTAGGTAAGATTCCCGAAAGAAATGGATAAATCGTTGGAGTTAAGTGTGCAACGACGCCGTATTACATGAAAGCATTTTTCCAACTTCTTCCATCTTATCATAACTGACAAGTAAAAATCCCTTGACAGATTTCTTCTATTTGTTGTTTTATGCGTGAAGATGAGAGTTGTTAATGCTTATCTCACAGAGGATTCAGATTCGTTTGCTCCTGATATATGCAGACAAGTCACCTAACTTGTTATGAGTTTCCTAATATGTGTCTCACAGTCCGGTACAAAATTTACATATCATTTAGTTAAAAGCCGAGGGGCAACGCTTCAAAGTGGATTCCGCAGTCTTTATTATTTAACAAGAATATCAAAGAATATAATTATGAAAAGAGTGAGTATGTTTTCGATCATCCTCAAGGTGGAATATAAATCAATGAATGTGTGTGTCATATTACCTTCGTCATCTCCATATTGATCTTCTTCATCGGGACTTGTTGTTACTGCTTCTATTGGAAGAAAAGAAAATAAAATACCGAAGAACTTCATGAATATCAATAAATAATGGTGGAAGTGATTCACACTGAAAAAGACTCGTGAACAGTCAGTCTGACAATTGGCATAAATCATGCAGACAGACAGAAAGAAAGAAAATGAGAGAGAGAGAGAAAGACTGTGAGAACCTGTAGGACATTTGTGTTTGGAACGTGTATGCGGATCCGCACTGACAGAGAAATAAATGAAGCAACCAGTCTTGCAGTTCACCCTCACAGTGCACTCGACAACTTCATCTGTGAATAACGATGAGCTGTTCATTTGTAAGGGACACGCTGGCTGCTTGCATACTCACAATCAGATGTATGAAACGATGACTATGACAAATCGAGGAAATCCAGCACCACTAGGCTGGAATATAATTATGAAAAGAGTGAGTATGTTTTCGATCATCCTCAAGGTGGAATATAAATCAATGAATGTGTGTGTCATATTACCTTCGTCATCTCCATATTGATCTTCTTCATCGGGACTTGTTGTTACTGCTTCTATTGGAAGAAAAGAAAATAAAATACCGAAGAACTTCATGAATATCAATAAATAATGGTGGAAGTGATTCACACTGTAAAAGACTCGTGAACAGTGAGTCTGACAATTGGCATAAATCATGCAGACAGACAGAAAGAAAGAAAATGAGAGAGAGAGAAAGACTGTGAGAACCTGTAGGACATTTGTGTTTGGAACGTGTATGCGGATCCGCACTGACAGAGAAATAAATGAAGCAACCAGTCTTGCAGTTCACCCTCACAGTGCACTCGACAAATTCATCTGTGAATAACGATGAGCTGTTCATTTGTAAGGGACACGCTGGCTGCTTGCATACTCACAATCAGATGTATGAAACGATGACTATGACAAATCGAGGAAATCCAGCACCACTAGGCTGGAATATAATTATGAAAAGAGTGAGTATGTTTTCGATCATCCTCAAGGTGGAATATAAATCAATGAATGTGTGTGTCATATTACCTTCGTCATCTCCATATTGATCTTCTTCATCGGGACTTGTTGTTACTGCTTCTATTGGAAGAAAAGAAAATAAAATACCGAAGAACTTCATGAATATCAATAAATAATGGTGGAAGTGATTCACACTGTAAAAGACTCGTGAACAGTGAGTCTGACAATTGGCATAAATCATGCAGACAGACAGAAAGAAAGAAAATGAGAGAGAGAGAGAAAGACTGTGAGAACCTGTAGGACATTTGTGTTTGGAACGTGTATGCGGATCCGCACTGACAGAGAAATAAATGAAGCAACCAGTCTTGCAGTTCACCCTCACAGTGCACTCGACAAATTCATCTGTGAATAACGATGAGCTGTTCATTTGTAAGGGACACGCTGGCTGCTTGCATACTCACAATCAGATGTATGAAACGATGACTATGACAAATCGAGGAAATCCAGCACCACTAGGCTGGAATATAATTATGAAAAGAGTGAGTATGTTTTCGATCATCCTCAAGGTGGAATATAAATCAATGAATGTGTGTGTCATATTACCTTCGTCATCTCCATATTGATCTTCTTCATCGGGACTTGTTGTTACTGCTTCTATTGGAAGAAAAGAAAATAAAATACCGAAGAACTTCATGAATATCAATAAATAATGGTGGAAGTGATTCACACTGTAAAAGACTCGTGAACAGTCAGTCTGACAATTGGCATAAATCATGCAGACAGACAGAAAGAAAGAAAATGAGAGAGAGAGAGAAAGACTGTGAGAACCTGTAGGACATTTGTGTTTGGAACGTGGATGCGGATCCGCACTGACAGAGAAATAAATGAAGCAACCAGTCTTGCAGTTCACCCTCACAGTGCACTCGACAACTTCATCTGTGAATAACGATGAGCTGTTCATTTGTAAGGGACACGCTGGCTGCTTGCATACTCACAATCAGATGTATGAAACGATGACTATGACAAATCGAGGAAATCCAGCACCACTAGGCTGGAATATAATTATGAAAAGAGTGATTATGTATTCGATCATCCTCAAGGTGGAATATAAATCAATGAATGTGTGTGTCATATTACCTTCGTCATCTCCATATTGATCTTCTTCATCGGGACTTGTTGTTACTGCTTCTATTGGAAGAAAAGGAAATAAAATACCGAAGAACTTCATGAATATCAATAAATAATGGTGGAAGTGATTCACACTGAAAAAGACTCGTGAACAGTCAGTCTGACAATTGGCATAAATCATGCAGACAGACAGAAAGAAAGAAAATGAGAGAGAGAGAGAGAAAGACTGTGAGAACCTGTAGGACATTTGTGTTTGGAACGTGGATGCGGATCCGCACTGACAGAGAAATAAATGAAGCAACCAGTCTTGCAGTTCACCCTCACAGTGCACTCGACAAATTCATCTGTGAATAACGATGAGCTGTTCATTTGTAAGGGACACGCTGGCTGCTTGCATACTCACAATCAGATGTATGAAACGATGACTATGACAAATCGAGGAAATCCAGCACCACTAGGCTGGAATATAATTATGAAAAGAGTGAGTATGTTTTCGATCATCCTCAAGGTGGAATATAAATCAATGAATGTGTGTGTCATATTACCTTCGTCATCTCCATATTGATCTTCTTCATCGGGACTTGTTGTTACTGCTTCTATTGGAAGAAAAGAAAATAAAATACCGAAGAACTTCATGAATATCAATAAATAATGGTGGAAGTGATTCACACTGAAAAAGACTCGTGAACAGTCAGTCTGACAATTGGCATAAATCATGCAGACAGACAGAAAGAAAGAAAATGAGAGAGAGAGAAAGACTGTGAGAACCTGTAGGACATTTGTGTTTGGAACGTGTATGCGGATCCGCACTGACAGAGAAATAAATGAAGCAACCAGTCTTGCAGTTCACCCTCACAGTGCACTCGACAACTTCATCTGTGAATAACGATGAGCTGTTCATTTGTAAGGGACACGTTAGCTGGTTGCATACTCACAATCAGATGTATGAAACGATGACTATGACAAATCGAGGAAATCCAGCACCACTAGGCTGGAATATAATTATGAAAAGAGTGAGTATGTTTTCGATCATCCTCAAGGTGGAATATAAATCAATGAATGTGTGTGTCATATTACCTTCGTCATCTCCATATTGATCTTCTTCATCGGAACTTGTTGTTACTGCTTCTATTGGAAGAAAAGAAAATAAAATACCGAAGAACTTCATGAATATCAATAAATAATGGTGGAAGTGATTCACACTGAAAAAGACTCGTGAACAGTGAGTCTGACAATTGGCATAAATCATGCAGACAGACAGAAAGAAAGAAAATGAGAGAGAGAGAAAGACTGTGAGAACCTGTAGGACATTTGTGTTTGGAACGTGTATGCGGATCCGCACTGACAGAGAAATAAATGAAGCAACCAGTCTTGCAGTTCACCCTCACAGTGCACTCGACAAATTCATCTGTGAATAACGATAAGCTGTTCATTTGTAAGGGACACGCTGGCTGCTTGCATACTCACAATCAGATGTATGAAACGATGACTATGACAAATCGAGGAAATCCAGCACCACTAGGCTGGAATATAATTATGAAAAGAGTGAGTATGTTTTCGATCATCCTCAAGGTGGAATATAAATCAATGAATGTGTGTGTCATATTACCTTCGTCATCTCCATATTGATCTTCTTCATCGGGACTTGTTGTTACTGCTTCTATTGGAAGAAAAGAAAATAAAATACCGAAGAACTTCATGAATATCAATAAATAATGGTGGAAGTGATTCACACTGTAAAAGACTCGTGAACAGTGAGTCTGACAATTGGCATAAATCATGCAGACAGACAGAAAGAAAGAAAATGAGAGAGAGAGAAAGACTGTGAGAACCTGTAGGACATTTGTGTTTGGAACGTGGATGCGGATCCGCACTGACAGAGAAATAAATGAAGCAACCAGTCTTGCAGTTCACCCTCACAGTGCACTCGACAAATTCATCTGTGAATAACGATGAGCTGTTCATTTGTAAGGGACACGCTGGCTGCTTGCATACTCACAATCAGATGTATGAAACGATGACTATGACAAATCGAGGAAATCCAGCACCACTAGGCTGGAATATAATTATGAAAAGAGTGATTATGTATTCGATCATCCTCAAGGTGGAATATAAATCAATGAATGTGTGTGTCATATTACCTTCGTCATCTCCATATTGATCTTCTTCATCGGGACTTGTTGTTACTGCTTCTATTGGAAGAAAAGGAAATAAAATACCGAAGAACTTCATGAATATCAATAAATAATGGTGGAAGTGATTCACACTGTAAAAGACTCGTGAACAGTGAGTCTGACAATTGGCATAAATCATGCAGACAGACAGAAAGAAAGAAAATGAGAGAGAGAGAAAGACTGTGAGAACCTGTAGGACATTTGTGTTTGGAACGTGTATGCGGATCCGCACTGACAGAGAAATAAATGAAGCAACCAGTCTTGCAGTTCACCCTCACAGTGCACTCGACAAATTCATCTGTGAATAACGATGAGCTGTTCATTTGTAAGGGACACGCTGGCTGCTTGCATACTCACAATCAGATGTATGAAACGATGACTATGACAAATCGAGGAAATCCAGCACCACTAGGCTGGAATATAATTATGAAAAGAGTGATTATGTATTCGATCATCCTCAAGGTGGAATATAAATCAATGAATGTGTGTGTCATATTACCTTCGTCATCTCCATATTGATCTTCTTCATCGGGACTTGTTGTTACTGCTTCTATTGGAAGAAAAGAAAATAAAATACCGAAGAACTTCATGAATATCAATAAATAATGGTGGAAGTGATTCACACTGTAAAAGACTCGTGAACAGTGAGTCTGACAATTGGCATAAATCATGCAGACAGACAGAAAGAAAGAAAATGAGAGAGAGAGAGAAAGACTGTGAGAACCTGTAGGACATTTGTGTTTGGAACGTGTATGCGGATCCGCACTGACAGAGAAATAAATGAAGCAACCAGTCTTGCAGTTCACCCTCACAGTGCACTCGACAACTTCATCTGTGAATAACGATGAGCTGTTCATTTGTAAGGGACACGCTGGCTGCTTGCATACTCACAATCAGATGTATGAAACGATGACTATGACAAATCGAGGAAATCCAGCACCACTAGGCTGGAATATAATTATGAAAAGAGTGAGTATGTTTTCGATCATCCTCAAGGTGGAATATAAATCAATGAATGTGTGTGTCATATTACCTTCGTCATCTCCATATTGATCTTCTTCATCGGGACTTGTTGTTACTGCTTCTATTGGAAGAAAAGAAAATAAAATACCGAAGAACTTCATGAATATCAATAAATAATGGTGGAAGTGATTCACACTGTAAAAGACTCGTGAACAGTCAGTCTGACAATTGGCATAAATCATGCAGACAGACAGAAAGAAAGAAAATGAGAGAGAGAGAGAAAGACTGTGAGAACCTGTAGGACATTTGTGTTTGGAACGTGGATGCGGATCCGCACTGACAGAGAAATAAATGAAGCAACCAGTCTTGCAGTTCACCCTCACAGTGCACTCGACAAATTCATCTGTGAATAACGATGAGCTGTTCATTTGTAAGGGACACGCTGGCTGCTTGCATACTCACAATCAGATGTATGAAACGATGACTATGACAAATCGAGGAAATCCAGCACCACTAGGCTGGAATATAATTATGAAAAGAGTGAGTATGTTTTCGATCATCCTCAAGGTGGAATATAAATCAATGAATGTGTGTGTCATATTACCTTCGTCATCTCCATATTGATCTTCTTCATCGGGACTTGTTGTTACTGCTTCTATTGGAAGAAAAGAAAATAAAATACCGAAGAACTTCATGAATATCAATAAATAATGGTGGAAGTGATTCACACTGTAAAAGACTCGTGAACAGTGAGTCTGACAATTGGCATAAATCATGCAGACAGACAGAAAGAAAGAAAATGAGAGAGAGAGAAAGACTGTGAGAACCTGTAGGACATTTGTGTTTGGAACGTGGATGCGGATCCGCACTGACAGAGAAATAAATGAAGCAACCAGTCTTGCAGTTCACCCTCACAGTGCACTCGACAAATTCATCTGTGAATAACGATGAGCTGTTCATTTGTAAGGGACACGCTGGCTGCTTGCATACTCACAATCAGATGTATGAAACGATGACTATGACAAATCGAGGAAATCCAGCACCACTAGGCTAGAATATAATTATGAAAAGAGTGAGTATGTTTTCGATCATCCTCAAGGTGGAATATAAATCAATGAATGTGTGTGTCATATTACCTTCGTCATCTCCATATTGATCTTCTTCATCGGAACTTGTTGTTACTGCTTCTATTGGAAGAAAAGAAAATAAAATACCGAAGAACTTCATGAATATCAATAAATAATGGTGGAAGTGATTCACACTGAAAAAGACTCGTGAACAGTGAGTCTGACAATTGGCATAAATCATGCAGACAGACAGAAAGAAAGAAAATGAGAGAGAGAGAAAGACTGTGAGAACCTGTAGGACATTTGTGTTTGGAACGTGTATGCGGATCCGCACTGACAGAGAAATAAATGAAGCAACCAGTCTTGCAGTTCACCCTCACAGTGCACTCGACAAATTCATCTGTGAATAACGATAAGCTGTTCATTTGTAAGGGACACGCTGGCTGCTTGCATACTCACAATCAGATGTATGAAACGATGACTATGACAAATCGAGGAAATCCAGCACCACTAGGCTGGAATATAATTATGAAAAGAGTGAGTATGTTTTCGATCATCCTCAAGGTGGAATATAAATCAATGAATGTGTGTGTCATATTACCTTCGTCATCTCCATATTGATCTTCTTCATCGGGACTTGTTGTTACTGCTTCTATTGGAAGAAAAGAAAAGAAAATACCGAAGAACTTCATGAATATCAATAAATAATGGTGGAAGTGATTCACACTGTAAAAGACTCGTGAACAGTGAGTCTGACAATTGGCATAAATCATGCAGACAGACAGAAAGAAAGAAAATGAGAGAGAGAGAAAGACTGTGAGAACCTGTAGGACATTTGTGTTTGGAACGTGGATGCGGATCCGCACTGACAGAGAAATAAATGAAGCAACCAGTCTTGCAGTTCACCCTCACAGTGCACTCGACAAATTCATCTGTGAATAACGATGAGCTGTTCATTTGTAAGGGACACGCTGGCTGCTTGCATACTCACAATCAGATGTATGAAACGATGACTATGACAAATCGAGGAAATCCAGCACCACTAGGCTGGAATATAATTATGAAAAGAGTGATTATGTATTCGATCATCCTCAAGGTGGAATATAAATCAATGAATGTGTGTGTCATATTACCTTCGTCATCTCCATATTGATCTTCTTCATCGGGACTTGTTGTTACTGCTTCTATTGGAAGAAAAGGAAATAAAATACCGAAGAACTTCATGAATATCAATAAATAATGGTGGAAGTGATTCACACTGAAAAAGACTCGTGAACAGTCAGTCTGACAATTGGCATAAATCATGCAGACAGACAGAAAGAAAGAAAATGAGAGAGAGAGAAAGACTGTGAGAACCTGTAGGACATTTGTGTTTGGAACGTGTATGCGGATCCGCACTGACAGAGAAATAAATGAAGCAACCAGTCTTGCAGTTCACCCTCACAGTGCACTCGACAAATTCATCTGTGAATAACGATGAGCTGTTCATTTGTAAGGGACACGCTGGCTGCTTGCATACTCACAATCAGATGTATGAAACGATGACTATGACAAATCGAGGAAATCCAGCACCACTAGGCTGGAATATAATTATGAAAAGAGTGAGTATGTTTTCGATCATCCTCAAGGTGGAATATAAATCAATGAATGTGTGTGTCATATTACCTTCGTCATCTCCATATTGATCTTCTTCATCGGGACTTGTTGTTACTGCTTCTATTGGAAGAAAAGAAAAGAAAATACCGAAGAACTTCATGAATATCAATAAATAATGGTGGAAGTGATTCACACTGTAAAAGACTCGTGAACAGTGAGTCTGACAATTGGCATAAATCATGCAGACAGACAGAAAGAAAGAAAATGAGAGAGAGAGAAAGACTGTGAGAACCTGTAGGACATTTGTGTTTGGAACGTGGATGCGGATCCGCACTGACAGAGAAATAAATGAAGCAACCAGTCTTGCAGTTCACCCTCACAGTGCACTCGACAAATTCATCTGTGAATAACGATAAGCTGTTCATTTGTAAGGGACACGCTGGCTGCTTGCATACTCACAATCAGATGTATGAAACGATGACTATGACAAATCGAGGAAATCCAGCACCACTAGGCTGGAATATAATTATGAAAAGAGTGAGTATGTTTTCGATCATCCTCAAGGTGGAATATAAATCAATGAATGTGTGTGTCATATTACCTTCGTCATCTCCATATTGATCTTCTTCATCGGGACTTGTTGTTACTGCTTCTATTGGAAGAAAAGAAAAGAAAATACCGAAGAACTTCATGAATATCAATAAATAATGGTGGAAGTGATTCACACTGTAAAAGACTCGTGAACAGTGAGTCTGACAATTGGCATAAATCATGCAGACAGACAGAAAGAAAGAAAATGAGAGAGAGAGAAAGACTGTGAGAACCTGTAGGACATTTGTGTTTGGAACGTGGATGCGGATCCGCACTGACAGAGAAATAAATGAAGCAACCAGTCTTGCAGTTCACCCTCACAGTGCACTCGACAAATTCATCTGTGAATAACGATGAGCTGTTCATTTGTAAGGGACACGCTGGCTGCTTGCATACTCACAATCAGATGTATGAAACGATGACTATGACAAATCGAGGAAATCCAGCACCACTAGGCTGGAATATAATTATGAAAAGAGTGATTATGTATTCGATCATCCTCAAGGTGGAATATAAATCAATGAATGTGTGTGTCATATTACCTTCGTCATCTCCATATTGATCTTCTTCATCGGGACTTGTTGTTACTGCTTCTATTGGAAGAAAAGGAAATAAAATACCGAAGAACTTCATGAATATCAATAAATAATGGTGGAAGTGATTCACACTGTAAAAGACTCGTGAACAGTGAGTCTGACAATTGGCATAAATCATGCAGACAGACAGAAAGAAAGAAAATGAGAGAGAGAGAAAGACTGTGAGAACCTGTAGGACATTTGTGTTTGGAACGTGGATGCGGATCCGCACTGACAGAGAAATAAATGAAGCAACCAGTCTTGCAGTTCACCCTCACAGTGCACTCGACAAATTCATCTGTGAATAACGATGAGCTGTTCATTTGTAAGGGACACGCTGGCTGCTTGCATACTCACAATCAGATGTATGAAACGATGACTATGACAAATCGAGGAAATCCAGCACCACTAGGCTGGAATATAATTATGAAAAGAGTGAGTATGTTTTCGATCATCCTCAAGGTGGAATATAAATCAATGAATGTGTGTGTCATATTACCTTCGTCATCTCCATATTGATCTTCTTCATCGGAACTTGTTGTTACTGCTTCTATTGGAAGAAAAGAAAATAAAATACCGAAGAACTTCATGAATATCAATAAATAATGGTGGAAGTGATTCACACTGTAAAAGACTCGTGAACAGTGAGTCTGACAATTGGCATAAATCATGCAGACAGACAGAAAGAAAGAAAATGAGAGAGAGAGAAAGACTGTGAGAACCTGTAGGACATTTGTGTTTGGAACGTGTATGCGGATCCGCACTGACAGAGAAATAAATGAAGCAACCAGTCTTGCAGTTCACCCTCACAGTGCACTCGACAACTTCATCTGTGAATAACGATGAGCTGTTCATTTGTAAGGGACACGCTGGCTGCTTGCATACTCACAATCAGATGTATGAAACGATGACTATGACAAATCGAGGAAATCCAGCACCACTAGGCTGGAATATAATTATGAAAAGAGTGAGTATGTTTTCGATCATCCTCAAGGTGGAATATAAATCAATGAATGTGTGTGTCATATTACCTTCGTCATCTCCATATTGATCTTCTTCATCGGGACTTGTTGTTACTGCTTCTATTGGAAGAAAAGAAAATAAAATACCGAAGAACTTCATGAATATCAATAAATAATGGTGGAAGTGATTCACACTGTAAAAGACTCGTGAACAGTGAGTCTGACAATTGGCATAAATCATGCAGACAGACAGAAAGAAAGAAAATGAGAGAGAGAGAGAAAGACTGTGAGAACCTGTAGGACATTTGTGTTTGGAACGTGTATGCGGATCCGCACTGACAGAGAAATAAATGAAGCAACCAGTCTTGCAGTTCACCCTCACAGTGCACTCGACAACTTCATCTGTGAATAACGATGAGCTGTTCATTTGTAAGGGACACGCTGGCTGCTTGCATACTCACAATCAGATGTATGAAACGATGACTATGACAAATCGAGGAAATCCAGCACCACTAGGCTGGAATATAATTATGAAAAGAGTGATTATGTATTCGATCATCCTCAAGGTGGAATATAAATCAATGAATGTGTGTGTCATATTACCTTCGTCATCTCCATATTGATCTTCTTCATCGGGACTTGTTGTTACTGCTTCTATTGGAAGAAAAGAAAATAAAATACCGAAGAACTTCATGAATATCAATAAATAATGGTGGAAGTGATTCACACTGAAAAAGACTCGTGAACAGTCAGTCTGACAATTGGCATAAATCATGCAGACAGACAGAAAGAAAGAAAATGAGAGAGAGAGAGAAAGACTGTGAGAACCTGTAGGACATTTGTGTTTGGAACGTGTATGCGGATCCGCACTGACAGAGAAATAAATGAAGCAACCAGTCTTGCAGTTCACCCTCACAGTGCACTCGACAAATTCATCTGTGAATAACGATAAGCTGTTCATTTGTAAGGGACACGCTGGCTGCTTGCATACTCACAATCAGATGTATGAAACGATGACTATGACAAATCGAGGAAATCCAGCACCACTAGGCTGGAATATAATTATGAAAAGAGTGAGTATGTTTTCGATCATCCTCAAGGTGGAATATAAATCAATGAATGTGTGTGTCATATTACCTTCGTCATCTCCATATTGATCTTCTTCATCGGGACTTGTTGTTACTGCTTCTATTGGAAGAAAAGAAAAGAAAATACCGAAGAACTTCATGAATATCAATAAATAATGGTGGAAGTGATTCACACTGAAAAAGACTCGTGAACAGTCAGTCTGACAATTGGCATAAATCATGCAGACAGACAGAAAGAAAGAAAATGAGAGAGAGAGAAAGACTGTGAGAACCTGTAGGACATTTGTGTTTGGAACGTGGATGCGGATCCGCACTGACAGAGAAATAAATGAAGCAACCAGTCTTGCAGTTCACCCTCACAGTGCACTCGACAACTTCATCTGTGAATAACGATGAGCTGTTCATTTGTAAGGGACACGTTAGCTGGTTGCATACTCACAATCAGATGTATGAAACGATGACTATGACAAATCGAGGAAATCCAGCACCACTAGGCTGGAATATAATTATGAAAAGAGTGAGTATGTTTTCGATCATCCTCAAGGTGGAATATAAATCAATGAATGTGTGTGTCATTTTACCTTCGTCATCTCCATATTGATCTTCTTCATCGGGACTTGTTGTTACTGCTTCTATTGGAAGAAAAGAAAATAAAATACCGAAGAACTTCATGAATATCAATAAATAATGGTGGTGTCTTTGTGTATTTATATTCATCCGTGAACTCTAATGAAGCAATATTTTCCTCTCAGAGATATTTTCAAAATCTATATATATTTGATGTTATTGAAATCTGAAATAACGTTATTTCCCACGATGATGGGATTTATTTTGGTGTTGATAATTTCCAACTATACTGCGAATGCACGAATCTACTTATCGACTTGATCAAGGATACAAATCGAATGCATTTTGACAGGACTTTACTCCAAGACTCTTTCGATTCATCGACTGAGATATTTCCAGCTCTCAACTATTTCTAGTTTATTCAAACAAATGTGATGTCTGAATATAAGCCCCAGATTACCTAATGTGTCTATCAATTAGCCTAATAGATTGTGTAATCTTTTTATAAATGTCATCTGCATGCTATTTATTAACGATGGCGAATTTTTTCGCGTTGCTGATTGAAGTCCTATCCCTTTGAATAAACCTAGTAGTTTGTTATTTGTTAATTTGTTTTGTTCTTTGAATGCACTCATTTATTTTATGGAATAGGCATTTTAAGTCATTGATTCTTCCCTGTGTTGTCAGTGTTTCTCTCACTGATATTTCTTTACCATCATTCCTACCAACTGTATCTGTATGTAGGTTAGGCATCATTTAGTGTTTTCTTTTCGATTTATTCCAACATATTTCACGTACATCTCTGTGTTATCCCGTGTTTGCTAGGCGCGCAAATCCAACTCAGCTTTCGTCCTGCATCTCGAAAGTACGTCCTATCATTTGCATTAGCTTTCAGTTGTTCGAGAAAGAAAGAATCAGGATGAAATTTGTTGAGGGGAATATTTCTCATTTATCTACATCATTCAATATATTTCTTTAACGAGTCATTATCAATCTTGACTTCACTAAATGTAGTCAAATAATGAGCGAGCTGTTTACATGCTCAGGGAATTATGTGCGTTCACCAGACAGTGGTTCAACGGAACATTGAATGAAATATTTCAAATTAACCAAGCTTGAGATCATCAAGTATTCTAGCTTATTGTTTGATGCTGCTATTCTATTGATGACAAAATCAAGTGTAATTATGACAGAAGTATGGCAAGAGAATCACTAGAGAGCTGAGTGTCAGCACACTATATCTATTCCTTCACTGCAGTAATCTGGATTGCACATGTGTATATCTGCGAAGCGATACTCTTGGCTTTGACTAATTAACCGGCAAGCTGTCGTGTACCACACATATATTCGAGTCATTATTGTCATTCTATGGTTTTGTAGAGACTTCATCATCATGTCAAATCTCTCACTTAGGTGTGATTTTGCATTCAGCTGATATATATATCATGCGTTCTCATTGTCATGATGCAGGAAGCTAATATTGATTGGAGTGCTGCTGATTTATTAACGTGAATATTATTCAGTGTGTGGCAAAAAGAAATAATTTGCATGCAGGCTACAATTTAATATACTTAGAACGAAAGTTTCAAAATTACGTCCATCCATGTTTGGTGAAACTACTTGAAATAAAATAAAATGTAAATACATAAGAATATGAATATTGATGTGGAGCTCTGATTTGTAGTGAAAATGACCCTTGCATAATCTGCAACAGTGAATGAATCATGGGAGCTAAGCGATTGACGGAGATGCGAGAAGGCATTTATGACTGAAATTGCTACTCTGTTCTCTCAATATTCTACGCTTCTCAGGATTGACAAAGAAGTCGATTACAATATCTTGGGATTCACCCTCACAAGAAAAACGCCTGTGTGGTTGTCGATGAGCGATCAGCAACTGATATTTAAGTGACACGTTGTGTGAGTTGATTTTTGCAGTCAGATGAAATTTTCAACTTTGGATGAGTGAAATTTTGAGAACAAGAATTGTGAAGATTCGATTACATTTAGCTTACCTTGGGTTTCTGAAAGAAACAAATGCGTGAGGTCAAATACTTTAAGTCTCGACAAGTGAAATAATGCCGCATTGAATGAAAATATTTCATCTAAATTGTGATACTGTTTTTGTTGTTTTCGCTACTTTATCCTACTTCCATAGAATATTTTAAGTACATCCATCACAGGGACTATCGTTAAGGCTTCTCACAGAAATTCTTCCTCGTTTTGTTTCCTCTTTCATACCTACTGGCTATTCTAACTGTTAATATGTTTTTCTGAATATGCACTAATATATTGAGATATTTTCAAAGTACTCTGTTTATGTTCGAATATTCCCATTTACTTCTTGATGCGTTTTCTGAAGTTTTTGCTACTGTTTTGATAACTAAACCACATATTTGATAATTAAATTCCCAAGCCTTTTTTATCTAATAACACTTTTTCCAATCCAGCCCGTATTTCCCACAGAGTGGCAATGAATAATGTGAATCACTCAGGGAAATTTCTGGTCAATCAATACATCTTATTGTAGATATTTGGCTGAACTCATTCGCTATTCTATACAATTTGTTCACAGCTGTTTAGAAACTTTTACAGAACTCTGATTTATACTTATCACATTCATATGATGAAAATGGACTTTATTCATTAGAATATGCCACGTTAATACATTTTTGTCGGCAAATCAGTCCGGAGTACAGATATGCATTACTCTGAACTCTTGTCACCAAGCAGTATAAACCTAATGACATACTGAACGTTCAGTTTAAATCATCCGAAATAAGATGACTCGTGTTTCTCAATACTATTCTAGATGATGCTTATCAGTGATTGAAGAAGACAGAGTGATGAAGATCTTCTTATGGGGTTCGGCTACATCTCTTTGTCATAGTAAACCATCATTTTGCATAAAAATAAATGAAATAAATAATAATTGCAATACTTTGACCATTATGTTTATTAATTATTTAACAATGAGAATCTGAAATTACCTTCATGGGTGTTGGTTAAACCTGTATTAAAAGCAATAAGATACAGTGGAGTTTCATGGATATTAGTGAAGGAATTCAATTTACAACGAAACTATTATATATTATGCAAATGCAACTACAACTAAGAGAATTGTGAAATAGGATTCATTTGAAATGCAATAGGAAAAGCTTGTTATGTAATTTGCTTAAAGTTTGAAATGAATTCTTCTAGTAGAATATAAGGTAGCAGCGACTTGAGCACTGATGTACTCATAAATATCGCCTCCACATTGGCCTCCACTTTCACCAGTCAACTAGAATACTGTCATCTTTCCTACTTATGTCCTAGTTTGTTCGGTTTTGTGAGGGGGTGAGCGATAGACTAACGCACCAAGCTGTCCATATTTATATGTCAGTGCGTGTCCAGCTAACAGCTAGTATACAGTAACTTATTACTAATCAGACTAAGGTTGAGACTGACTGGCTTAAAATGGTGATGCTGTCTCCAGTTTTGCTCTACAGCAATACTATTGAGTGGGAAAATGGAATTAGTTTTTTCATGAATATATTCGAAGTGTATTAGAGATGAACGTCGTGAAATTACCTCCTTCTTCCTCGTTTGCTTCATCGTCACCTGTGGCTCCTGATTTGATTTGAAAAGGAAAAAGATTCAAACGGATTACTTAGATATTAATGATGAGAGTTGACTTGCAATGAAATTGAATGATGCACAGCACAAAAATGGAGCAATGATAATCATATCAGAAAGAAAAACAAACAAATCCTGTAGGATATTTGAGATTCTACTTTCTACAAGGTGGTTTCCAGTTTCTTAGCCAATCAATAAGGACAAAGTTGCAAGGAAACCTGTCTCGTGGTTTGCTTTCACAGTGGAGACTGTGACTGATGATAAGCCGTTTGTTTAACAGCTCATGATAGGTCGATCGGTTTCTCGAGGCTAATAAATGGATTGTATAAGAAATGCGTGTACACTTGGATGGCTTCTGCTTTTGAAAGGATTGAGTATGTAATTGCATATACTGAGTAAGATTGAATGCTCTGATGATTTCACATTGAATAGAAAGATTTCGCCAAATCCACTGATTGTGCTTGCTTATCATACACTCGAACACTTGACTTCACTTTCTTTAGTGAACCGAAAAATAACTCATGTTAAATAGAATTATTCGAGTCTGTGCCACAGTTGTCAGGTAGTAGTAAGCAATTGATTTTGGTGTTGAATTTCCAATATGAATGTCTGAGTGTGTATTTACCTATCAGCTACTCCACACTGACCCATTGTCATGCAGCCTAGAGCGCAGGTTAACTGCAGTTAAATATGAGTTTTGCTGGCTTTATTACTGAACATGAAAATAATAGAGAATTGAAATATTTCACTCAGTGTTACATTTGTGGTTCATTGAAAACAAACATTTGAATATTACCTTGTGTCTCTTCCGCTTCTCCAGTGGTTGCTGGTTGATCAGCTGCTGAATTTGTGTAAAGGCGAATCGAGTAGAATTTGATTACACAATTAATGAAGGTATAGATATATTTTTTCGCAAAAAAACTGACTTCTGCGTGTGATGCAAAACATACCAATCATTATCTCAGGAAACGTGAAACAACCGAAGTCAGACATTGCGGATTCCAACTGCTTCACTAAGCATTTCTAATTCTGCACACATTACAATCTACAAAGAAGTAGTATAAGCTATCTGATGATCCACATTCACAGTGAAGTTAACAGCTTCATCAGAGTTTGACGACAGGCAATATTTTTGTATAAGTGGCATGTTTTGTGTGGACGCTTTAAGTCGACTGACAAGTGAAGTGTCAAGCAAGAAAACTGTGTTATTACTGTATCTACATTTGGACTGCCTGATACTCCTGAATATGTGGCATGACATATTTAGTTTGTATGAATGCTGCAATGATGTTGCATTCAACGAGAATATTTCTCCTCACTTGTGAATCTTTATTTGTTGTTTCTGCTTCCCTGTCACACTTCACTAACTTGAATGAATCGAAAGTTTTATTGAGGCAGCAAACTCTTCCGATTATATTAATCGTCCGGTAAACTAATCATTTGAACAGTTAATTTCAATGGTCATATGAAAATAAATGAATGTGAAAC